AACACAATTGATATGGCAAGAAAGTTGGTCAAAACTTAAAAATAATTGGCTTAGAGCGATTGATGAATGTGTTCGAAATAAAACACAACTATACAGGAAAAATAAAACAGAAGAAACTGTCATTACCAGACTCAGATTGGGATATACGAAATTAGGACATAATATTAACCGGTTAAAAAAAGAGGTAGATCCAGATTGTCCAAACTGTGGTGAACCCGAAACCATAAACCACATATTATTCCACTGTAACACCCATAATAGCCATAGGGCAGATTTACAAGATCAAGTCGAACAAATAGATAACTTCAATTTTGATTTAAAATCATTATTAAATCCACCAAAAATACACATGAAACTTGTATACGAATATTTGATCAACTACCTCACTGCCATAGATTATATCGAAAAAAATTAAGTCAGTGATACACAACAAGGATAGGTAAGAAATCATGAAGATAGTTACAATAAAGTTGCCATATCATACATATAAGTATAGGATCCTCTGATAGACAATAGCTTGCTGCAACGTCTTTGTTACGACCTCAGGTGGGGAGTTTTGTTCATTAGCTAGCTCCTATCCCACAGTGACCTAGTGTTTTAACGAAGGAAATTAAAAATAACCAGAATAAAAATGAGTTACAATATGCAAGACTTAGATACATTACACTTGAAACCCTGCAGGCGGGAAAGTGACTCTTTATAAAACAAAGGGACGGTAGCAGGGTCAAAAGGTAGGATTATGTTTAGATATATCAACATAAACAATTAATAAAACAATATTTACAATAAGACGTAAATATATTATAATATATCTTCAACTCAAACAACCACAGCTTCTCACCTCGTCAGGTGCACTTACAAAAGTGAATGATCTGTGTTGTCCAGATGAAATAAATACCTATGAAATTATAAACAAAACATAGATAAAGAACACCCACTATTAACCATCAATCTTGTAAGTCCCAAGGATACCCAGGGAGGCTATACCAGGGTGGACCGCTACTCGTCTGCCCATACATTGGTATATACTGAGATTCCAGGAGGTCTGGAGTCTCCCCCTCTGTGCCCCACCCCCATAACACATTAAATAATAAAAAAACACAACCTCAAACACAACATTTGCAGCTTCCCACCTCGTCAGGTGCACTTATATAAGTGAGTGGTCTGTGATGTTATGTTTATAAAATTAAATTACAGATTTGATAGGTCTCCATCTACAACACACTCGAATACTATCGGACATTTAAACCAACCTGTAAACTTAGACATAATTGAATTAGATTAATTATTCAACTCAAACAACCACAGCTTCTCACCTCGTCAGGTGAACTTGCAAAAGTGAATGATCTGTGTTGTTAAAGTGAAATAAATAAATAAACATATAACTTAGTGCTTTTAACAGATAGGTTCTCGTCTGCAGCCCGCCTTGTGCGTTAAATGCTCGGATGTTTTATAAACATATAACTTAGTGCTTTTAATAGATAGGTTTTCATCTGCAGCCCGCCTTGTGCGTTAAATGCTCGGATGTTTTATAAAAATGATCCAACCCCTAGGCATACCATTTAAACCTATTATAATTAGGGCTAGACTACAAGAGTGCAATTATGGGGACTGCATTGCGTACCTTTGGACATTGTCCACACCCTTGTAGCTAGTCCGCTTATAGAGGATAGGACAAACAAAGCTCCAGAAGCCCCACTCCCATATCACATTAAATAAATTTAAACAAAACTTCANGGGATTACTTTTTTTGCGTAGGAATATTGTTTGAATAGGACTACCTTCCTATACAACAGCGCTGATTGGCTGGTATTGCGGTGTTTTCGATTTGATTATATTTGGGTGTACTTTATAACATACGCGTAAATTTCAATTTCAGAACGAAGCAGATAGTGGAACAGTTTAAATATCAACCACATCGGCCGGGTAAGTGTATGGAAGTCTTGTCAGAGAGCCTAGCTGTAAGAACAAAACCAATTACAATTCAATTCAACTTTATTCTCTTTCACAATACAATGTGTAGAGAAACATATTTACAATATAATATATACAGAATAATACATGCCTTTTTCCATATCACACCCAGTATCAACC